CGGGAAGCAGAGGAGCAAACGAACAAAGGTCCCGGGATCTCACCAGCGCAGCTGCCCAGACCTGGAAGCAGCCACATGCCCAAACGTAGCCCCACGGCCCCGCAGGAAAGGGCAAAGATGGCGCTCGGAGTCAGGCACCTGAGCAAAAGGAGGGGGAGGCAGCGAGAGGCAAGCGAGAAACCAAAAGAAGCAGAAAAAGCAACACCCGCAGCCAACAAATGGCACCCAGAGAGCCACCCACCCGGGCACACGGAATCCAAGCAACCGGCGCCCCCCAGCCAAGAGACCTTGGCCACGGGAAGCAGGGGAGCCCCAGCCGGGGCGAAGGGGGTGGGGGGTGGGAAAGCACACACCGCAAATTACCAGCTGTTTTGTCTCCCACTGGATGCTCCATGAGGCTGCTCTCTCGTACTCCTGTTTGCTGGTCTCTGATAGGAGTCCAAGATGGTGGATCCACGCTGCGTTACCTGGTAGGGGACCTCTGCATGAATCTCTCCTTGCTCTCCGTTCTCTTTCAGTATTCTCACTCTGTTTGGTGTTCGGCTGAGTTCTTTATCTCTTCATCTGATGTTCTAGGGTTTCAGGATTGTTGATTTTCTGTTTGGCTTAGTTTTTCGGATCTTTGCTGTGAAGGGACGGCGTGGTGCTTCTGCCTAGAGCGCCATCTTGCCGGACTCTATCCTTTATTCATTCTTGACGTGCTTCTCCAATGTATTTACCTTTTGAGTGATTTATTTGTTTTCTTATTTCCTTATCTATGAAATGGGCTAATAATGATGTCCACTTTATGGTGGTGGTAGACATGATCAGATATTGCATTTTATATTGTCCTGGCTTCATTGTAGAGAATGGATAGTGGAGAACACGCATGTAGGCAAGTGAACAGATGATGCTTATTTAAACCCATGCCATTAAACCCACTGACTTTTTGGCGAGTGAACCGTGCTGAGGAGGATCCTGTGGCTGGCAATTTCCTTATGGCCTGTGACGTACATGTGCCACCCCCTGGCCCTAGAGCCCCTGTGTAGTGCCACCATGTAGTCAAGAGCCAGCCCCATAATTACATGGCCCCTTCTCTAAAGGAACTTCTGGAAATGCCGAATTTTTTTTGTATTGTACTTTAGATGAAGGTTTACGGAATAAACTAGCTTCTCATTAAAAAGTTAGTACACATATTGTTTTATGACATTGGTTAACAACCCCACAACATGTCAACACTCTCCCTTCTCGACCTTGGGTTCCTTATTACCAGCTTTCCTGTCCCCTCCTGCCTTCTAGTCCTTGCCCCTGGGCTGGTGTGCCCCTTTAGTCTCGTTTTGTTTTATGGGCCTGTCTAGTCTTTGGCTGAAGGGTAAACCTCTGGAGTGAATTCATTACAGAGCCAAAAAGTGTCTGGGGACCATAATCTCGGGGTTTCTCCAGTGTCTGTCAGACCAGTAAGTCTAGTCTTTTTTTGTGAGTTAGAATTTTGTTGTACATCTTTCTGCAGCTCTGTCTGGGACCCTCTATTGTGATCCCCGTCAGAGCAGTCAGTGGTGGTAGCCAGGCACTGTCTAGTTGTACTGGACTCAGTCTGGTGGCGGCCGTGGTAGTTGTGGTCCATTAGTCCTTTGGACCAATCTTTCCCTTGTAGCTTTAGTTTTATTCATTCTTGGTTGCTCCCGAAGGGGTGAGACCAGTGGAGTATCTTAGATGGCTGTTCACAGGCTTTTAAGACCCCAGACGCTACTCACCAAGGTAGAATATAGAACATTTTCTTTATAAACTATGTTACGCCAATTGAACTAGATGTTCCCCGTGACCTTGATCCCCACAGCCTTCAGCCCACTAATTCAGTTCCTCAGGGAGTTTAGATGTATCTATGGAGCTTCCATGATCTTGCCTTGCACAAGTTGTGCTGGCTTCCCCAGTATTGTGTACTGTCTTACCCTTCACCAAAGTTACCACTTACCTATTGTCTATTCAGTGTTTTTCCATCCCCACCTCTCCCCTCCCTCATGACCATCAAAGATTGTTTCTTTTTGTGTGTAAACCTTTTCATGAGTTTTTACAGTAGTGATCTCATACAATATTTCTCCTTTTGTGATTGACTTATTTCACTCATCATAATGCCCTCCAGATTCATCCGTGTTGTGAGATGTTTCGCAGATTCATCACTGTTCTTTTTCGTTGCACAGTACTCTGCTGTGTTTACATTTATTTATCCATTCATCTGTTGACGGGTACCTAGGTTGTTTCCATCTTTTTGCTATTGTGAACAATGCAGCAATGAACATGGACGTGCATATGTCTATTTGTGTGATGACTCTTTTTTCTCTGGGATATATTTCTAAGAGTGATATTCCTGGTTCATGTGGTATTTCTATTTCTAGCTTTCTAATGAAGCACCATATCATTTTTCAAAATGGTTGTATCATTTTGCATTCCCACCAGCAGTGCATATGAGTTCCAATCTCCCTACAGCCTCTCCAACATTTGTTATTTTCTGTTTTTTTTGATTTGTGCTAGTAGTGCCAGGGTGAGATGGTATCTCATTGTGATTTTGATTTGCATTTCTCTAATGGCTAGTGATCGCGAGCATTTCCTCATCTGTCTTTTAGCCGCTTGAATGTCTTCTTTGGTTAAGTGTCTGTTCAGAAATGCTGAATTTTGACTATGTGCTTTTCATATCTGAAGTTGTGGTAATGTCATCTTTTCAAGGTTTTGGGGAAAGGTAAATAGTATAGATTAAATGCCCACCACAGAGTCTGGCTAATTTAGTGCTAAGTATTTTTCCTTCACATACTGGTGCTTGTTGAATGGGATAGTTTTATGGTACTTTTTTTTATAGTGGTAAAATATGTATAACAAAACATTTGCTATTTCAACCATTTTTATGTATACAATTCATCAATAACATTCACTGTGTTGTGCAACCATCACTACTAGCTATTTCTAATTTTTTTCATCACCCTCAAAAGTTATGGTACTTTTTTTTTGTTTGTTTTGGAGTATTATGCATGAGTTTCTTCATTTTCTAAACTGTTAAGTTGGTTTATAATGAAAACTTAGCCCATCTTACTAAGCTACTGTTGTAGAAATTTGTTGATTTTCTTTAGTTATCTAGCTGTATAGTCATATTTTCAAATAAGGGTTTTGTCACCTTTTCACTATTTAAACGTTTATGTTTATACAGTATCACCTTGGATAAGCATTCCTGAGCAACATTTAATATTAATGGTAGCAGGCATCCTTATTTAGTTAAGAATGATGTATTATGGTTTACTAGGTTAAGGAAATAATTTTCTTTTCCTAGTTTAACCCAAACCCATTGCTGTCGAGACAATTCAGACTCATCGTGACCCTATAGGACAGGGTAGAACAGCCCCATAGGGTTTCCAAGGCTTTAATCTTTACAGAAAGCTGACTGCCACAACTTTTCTCCTGCAGAGTGGCTGGTGGGTTCTAACTGCCAATCTTTCGGTTAGCAGCTGAGCACTTAACCACTGCACCACCTTGGCTCCTTTTATTCCTAGTCCAGAAGTAGTTTTTATTTTTAATGGGTAGAGGATTTTTATCAATTAATGTCTTATTTTTTGCTATTGTCGTGTTGTCTTTTACATGATTTATTATTTTTATGACTTGATTTTCTAATACAAGTCATCCTTATATTACTGGAATATATTTTTTGCTGAGTCATATTGTTGTATTATTTTACTATACTGTTGAAGTCCTTGGGTGGTGCAAAAGGTTAATGCACTTAACTGCTAACCAAAAGTTGGAGGTTCGAGTCCATGCATAGGCTTCTTGGAAGAAAGACCTGGTGGTCTGCTTCAGAAAAATTAGCCATTGAAAACCCTATGGAGCACAGTTCTAATCTGACACATGTGGGGTCTCCATGAGTCAGAATTGAATGGACAGTAACTCGTTCTTGAGATTGATCAGATAGTATTGTTTTAAGGATTTTTTAAATCTATATTTAAAAATGAAATGGGTTTGTATTTTTCTCTGTGTTATCTTTGATGGGTGTTAGCATTGAGGTCATGCTAGTTTTGCATATATTTCTATATTTGTCACGTCTTATGTCATGTGGAAATTATCTCCTCTTAGAAATTAAAAAGAAGTATAAGGCTGTCTGCCCTTGAAGCCTTTTTTTCCAGTTTTTTTTTCTTTTAAATTGTGGTAAATATATATGTAATAAAACATTTTCCATTTCAACATATTTTACATTAAGTGAAATTCATTACACTCCTTTCTGGAGGAAATTTTTTATTTTATTGTACTCTCTTTCAAACCTGATTTATATGTTTTTTTTTAATTTCTTATTTTGTTTATCTGTGTAAGTTTTCATTATATGTTGTTTTCATTATTTTATAATAAGAGAATTTAAAGCTATACTACATATACCAACCAAACCCACTGCCATCGAGTCAGTTCTGACTCATAGTGACCCCATAGGGTTTCCAAGGCTGTAAATCTCTACAGAGGCAGACTTCCACATCTTTCTCCCGTGGAGCCACTGATGGTTTTGAACTGCCAACCTTTTGGTTAGCAGTCGATCGCTTTAACCTCTGTGCCACCAGGGCTCCATACTACATACAGTATTGTATATATAGTATTGGTTGAATCCAGAAGTTTTTATATGTAGTGTACTTACTTTGTTGTTTATTAAATAGCATTTGATAATAATTTACATTTCTTTTTTGACCTAACAGTTCTTTATTGTGATGCTTCATGTTGAGGATTTCTGGTTAGAACTACTTTTTTTTTAAAATTTATGATTGTATTTTAATTATGGTTGTATTGAGAGAATGTGGGTGCTGTCCTTCCCTATATGTCTAGTTTTTACTGATAACTTTATCTTGGAGGGCCAGTCCTTAATTCTTATTTTTTTTAATTTTTAAATTATTCTCATGTACTTATTCTTCCAGGTGAACATTAGAAACACCTTGTCAAGTTCTCATCACGAATATCATTGGATTTGTTATTGGAATGACATTGAATTTCTAGATTAATTTGGGAAGAGCTATCGTCTTTATAATCTTCCCATACATGAATGTGGTATGTGTCTCCATTCAGATGTTTGGTAATATGTGTGTGTGTGTGTGTGTGTGTACGCACTTCCGCACGTGTACGTATAATACACTTATTACCTTTAATCTTTAATTGCCAGCTTCTGAAAGAAATAGGCAAATATCTCAGGAACTGAGAATCTGGTGGAAAAAGTACAGATGTCATTTGTGTATACTAGGACTCATCCAGATAGCCCTGGAAGCTTGCAATGTTTGTAATGTCGTATATCCTTGGTTTGGGCAAATATAGAGGTGAGGGCTAACATTTGGAAAATTATGTGGAAATTCATTTGTTTTTAGTATTGTCAGCACCTCTTTGGCCTTCCCCTTTCCCATTTAGAAGTGCTTCACTCACTGTTTATAAGATCTGTAGCTACTTGAAGACCTTCAGACTTTCCAATATGGAGCTAACCACTTGTGCTCTCACTGGAAAAATATTTATATACAAGGAGATAAGAATCCTGTTTCACTTGATGGTTTTGTTTCAATTCTAAGGGCAACTCTCCAAGAGGGAGCTAGAGAAGAACATCCAGGATACACAGAGGGACTTGAACTTAGACCTTATGAGATTCATCATAGGAATTTGAACTATTTGACTTGGAGGAGAGAACTCTATGGAAGGGAGGAGGATTTGATGGTCTGTTTTCAGATTTCTTATGGAGTCAGGGACAGTCGATTTTGCTGCTTTTGAAGTCAGTCTTAATTATAATGGAGAAGCAAATTTAAGAATTGCATTAAGATGAAAGGGCTCCTGAAAGTGATACCTAGAGGTTTGTATGACCATTTGAGAGAAAATTTGAGAATCTCTTTGCATAGAATTGGAGATTAGACTACGTGCACTTGAAGATCTCATTTATTCCTGAGATTCTAAGAGGGTTTCAATTAGGGAAAGTGAAAATGATTTTTACTGTGTGCCTGCTTCACATGTTCCCATTTGATCATCACCATAACCCTGTGAGGCATCCCAGAGACGTAGAGTAATTTTACTAAGGTAACTCATAATAAATGGCAGAGCATACTTCTTTGAACTCCTCTCATATAGCTTAATGTCCAAAAATAATTCCTTAAATTAGTATAGCACTTTATAGTTCTGTAGAAGCGTTTCATAAACATGGTTATTTGACCTTTATAACAACCTGATAAAATAGGAAGAATAGATACCACCAATGTGTCTATTTTATTGGTGTAAAACATAGGCTCAGAAACTCTTTGGATCTATGGAATATCCAGAGTAAAAGGGATATGGGAGATTATTCAATACAACCTCCTTATTTTGCAGTGGGAGAAACAGCTAGAGTTAAAATTTTGGGTATTTTAGAGGCATGTATTTATTTTATTTGTGTGGGTTTATAAAGGTGGAAGGTTGGACTAGAAGATCTCATGAGGTGCTGGATGGGAGGATGCTTTAATCTACTCTGCAGTATAAACTTGTTTGATACCAGTTTACAATATCTTTCCAAATGAGATTAAATGGCATTTTAAGAAGCATTGATTGAAGGCACTATAGCTTTAAGGAGGAAATGTAAAGCTTTAGGTAGCAGGTGGTGGAAGATACTTTGGCTCACGAGGTCCTTCTTTTTGTTGTTGGCCTTGTGAACCTCCATGCCCAAAGGTCAACTGGGAAGATGGCCACTGGAGAATGGGTTATGTTATAAGTTTGCAATCAAAGCAGTATGGATGGGAGTGAGGCCTCCGCACTTGACACCACTCTGGGAGTCACCATTTACTCATAGGTCTGTAATATGTAGAGCTTAGGGTCAGAGTGATGGCTTCTCTTGAGATCATGCCAAAAGTTGAGTTGTAGATTTCTTAGAACCTCAAGGATGGAAGGACCTTAGGAGTCTCCTATCCCAAACACGCCTCTAGGTTATTTCTATCTGACCCCAATTCAAGTCCTTTTATAAATTTCCCAACAAATGATCCTTTAGCCACTGATTATTACGTTTAGTGATGGGGAACTCTTTCATGAGTCAACACATTTCTTCTTTTGGCATCTCTCTGCAGGATGGAACTGAAATACATTTCTCTACAGCTTCACCTCATTCAGCATATATGTATTGTGTCCCTACTTAAGAATATTACTTTATTGTTTTCTCTCCTGCATCTTCAGCTTCTCCTCTCTGCTGCCTCTTGAGCTGCCAGGCATTGTGCTGGGTGATGGGGATATGGAGACGAAATAGACACAGTCCCTGCCCTCAAGGAGTTCCCAGTCTAGTGAGAGAGATCAACAAGTACACAGATAATTACAACAGTATGGTATGCTCTACAATAGAGGTATGTACAAGGCACTATGGGGTTCAGAAGAGAAATCATTTGACTGGGTCTGGAGATGTCAGAGGTCAGAGGAACTGATTCTTAAGTTGAGTGTTAAAAGAAATAAAGGTTGACCAGGCAGAAACAGAGGGAAGAATCTTCTACACAAAGGCATGGACATTGGAAATAGAATGATGTGTTGGAGGAACTGTAAATAATATAAATGAGGCTGGAAATGTTGGCCAGATATAGATCCTTATATAATATTCCATAGAATTTGGATTTCATTATGAGGGTAAAGGGGAGACTTTGCAAAGTTTTAAGAAGTTTAAGAGTTTTGAAGGTCACTCTGGTGGTAGTGTGGAGTATGTTCTGGAAGACTCAGGAATCTGGACAGGGAGATTAGTTATAATTATTAAGATGAGAAATGATCTAAGGCAGAAGGAGTGGGAGTGGACAAAAGGGAATGTATTTAAGAGGTTATAAAAATGCAGACGTAATAGAACTTAGGGGAAAATTAGGGTGATGGAGAGGGAAAAGTCAAAGCTTTCTGACTTGGCAAATGTGCATCCCCCTACTCTTACCCCTGGCCTTGATGAAAGATCCTCTCATGTTCTTTAGATGGATGCGAGTGATGGTTGATATGTTAATGGTTTCGTTTGGACCAGGGCTTGGATGCACAGGTTTTGCAAGATTTTTTCTTAGGGAGAGCCATATGAGAAATACTGGTTCTCAGGAAGCCATCTGAACAGCAACAGACCTATTATAGTGTTCTTAAGTTCAGGTTCCTAAGTTCCTGTTCCTTCTCGTCAGTGACATCCTTACTCTCCCTGCTACATGTCTCCCAAGGTTGTTTTATCAAAAGTGGATGCTTACTTTTCAGTGGCTGTTTTATACCTAAGATCTACTCAGAAAAGAGAGGATCTTAGTTGCTATTGGCTCAACTGTTTTATTTTGCTTAGGGATTTGAAGATGTTTATGACTAACCATCCAAGCAAAAAATATATTCAATAATTAAAAACCTAAACATACCTAGTATTTATTTTCTCTTCTCAAAGCAATGTTCTTTGGGAAATTCTCCATATAAGACTCAGAATATTGACCCTGGGGATTCAGAGAATGAGCTTTCTGTGACTAGAATGAAAAGTAGAGATATTATATTTAAGTAGAACAGGATTTTTCAGAGGCTCTTTTACACCTGGCCAGCCTGGAGAACAGCAGGAGGAGGTAAGGCTGGGAGAGGGAACCCTGAGCAGGATAACAAAGCAGTACAGTAAGAGTGTGGGCCTTGGGACTAGACAGCCCTGGGATCAAAACTCTGTTCTGACACAAGCAGTGTAGTCTTGATCATGATTTTTCACCTCTCTGGGACTTTGTTTCCTCTTATGTAAAATACAGATAATAATAGTATGTGTTTGCAACAATTTGGGTGGGGAAAGGTAAGGATTTAATAGGACTATTTATATTAATTGTTTAGAACAGGCCTAGAATATGCTGAATGATAAATAAACTATTGTTGGTACTGAAAATGGTGTTGACCATGACAAGGATTAAAAGAATATAGTTGACTAGGGATGCTTATATTTTGAGTAGTCCCTGAGGATGTTGAGGTTAAGAAAGAAAGAAAAGCTGACCTCAAGGTTTTTAATGGTATGCTAGTGTGAAGTCACTTCTATGCATTTTTTTCTCTTTGCCAGGTAGGGTGGGAAACTAGATGGAGCCTTTAGTCCAAGTCCATGCCTTTATCACTAATCTACTGTTTTTGCTCCTAGTTCCAAATAGAAAGCTGTTGAAAAGTTGTTGCATTAAGCCTGAATAAAAGTTATCATAAAAACATAGAAAAAATACTTTGGAGTTGGTCAAAGCTGAATTTGAAACCTGCAGTAATCTAAGCCATGTTACTTAACCTCATTGAACCTCAGTTTCTTCATCTGTAATATAATAATTAATTTGCACAGTTCCATGAGGATATTTGTAAAGTGTATGTTATAAACACTATAAATCACATCTATTATTATTATTGTTAGTTCTTGGGACACTCACCATGTGACAGAAACAACAACATGCCCTGGTGACTGGGAGGACTCAGGCTTCTCTTCATGGATCCAGCAGCAACCTGGAGGGGTGCTTCTCCGAAGAAATCCTACTCGGATGGATATAATACAACCTGCTAAGTGTCCTAGCACTTATCAGATTGTATTATCATTGTCCGTGTCTATGGCTCTCGACTACCAGACTCTAAGTTCCTTAAGGGCAAGGACAGTGCCTTATTCATCTTTGTATTCCCAGTGCCTAACCAGTGCACATTGTAGGCCTCATTAAATGTTTGTTGAATGAAAAAATGAATCATCAACAGACATTAATTGGGCGCCTGCTCTGTGATCTCCAAGGGCTCAGCTTGTCCCCGCCTGTTGTCTACAACGTCCAAGCTCTCTTCAGAATGTTTACTCCTGAAACTTACTCCTATTTTCTAATTCTTTTTACTGGGGACCTTTCTGTCTAGTACAAGGATAGCAGATGGACTTCATCTCAAGTGCCATCTCCAATTGATTCAGAGTGCCAGCCTGGAATATGTGTTAAAATGGATTCTGAAGCCAGGTTCCAGCTCAGTGCGAAAGACGGTTATAACTGATTAGTGTTGTCTGTAGAGGGTGGGACAAGGGGGAGTAGCTGAACGTGTGTCACACGTATGTCATATTTAATATTGTGTCTTCCATGAAGTACACCATTTCTATGCCTGCATTTTAGTCTTGGCTACTTGCAGATGTTGCATGGCTGCTGCTGCTTCTAAAACTGCTGCCAGTTGCTCCTTGGCTATGACCAGAGTGATCATTGCCTGATCAGGAACCTCATCCTCACAGTCTGGGGTTTGCTACTGTGGCTGGTACTCACAGTCTTCCCCTTTCAACTTTACCCCAGCTATACCCCTACCTGAATTTACAGGTAGGCCTCTGCTTTCCTGATCACCACTCACCAGGCTCTTATTTCCTTACTCTTATTTGGTGTGCTTAGTCATTACTGCTCCACTTTCTGTTTACAGATATGCCAACTAGAATACAGGTTAAACTACTCCTTCAAGGCCCCACAGTGAATTATATAAACTCCCTTTTAATATGGGAGAAAATTGAGTGTGTTTTCAGACCATGAGCAGGAGGAACTGAGAAGGGAGTCTTTGTAGATATAGGAGAGAGAGATGATAACAGATGGAATAAGAGCCTAAGAGATGATTCAGGTGAGGATGGGAAAGTGAAACTTACGGCTCTAGAACACAGGTGGATAAAAAGAACTACCTCTTCACTAGAGCATAGAGATAGGGATAGGATTAAGGAAGGGAATTTCACATGGGTGGTGAAGATTAGAAATTGCAGAGGTGAATGACAGAGAGGAAGCTGACCAGGGTCAAAAAAACAAAACAAAACAGTTTGCTGGAGTAGGATGACCAGAGGGGTTTGGGTATGAACCAGTCTCTAAGGAATATATAGGCCAAAAGGCTGGCTAGAGTGTGGACATTAACAGGAGAGCTTATGGTATTAAAGTGAGAAATTAGTTTGAAACTGGATTAGAAATTGTCAGAAAATACAGTCTTGGGTCATTGCCACAAATACCATTTGGGTACCTGGAGCTAACCTTAACTGATTGAGGGGTTGACAGCAAGAGAGGAATTACATAGAAATGGATTTGACGATCCAGGCTGGGTAGGGTAGGAAGTAAGGTCAGCAAGGAGATCAAGATGTGAAATCAAGATGGGTTTCAGATAATTGGGAAACTGGCATGATGGGAGCTGTGATCAGAGAGTATGTTTTGGAATGTTATGATTCCAGAAGTATAGTGGTCAAGAACCTATGAAGCTAGGATGTCAGATGGTCATTTACATGGCTATCGAAGTAACCCAGGATTATAACAGAAGGTGGGCTGAGAACAAACACTATGGGGCAGGTATAAAAGGCTTCAGTGACTGTAAAGAATTATCTGGAGGTTGACACATAACAACTGTGTAAATGCAAGAGAGGAGGAGCTGTAGTTGTCTAGTAGTATGAGCCTCAGAAGAGTGGTGTGGTTGTTATAAGATGCAAAAGCAGTGGTTTGCACATTGCACTGAGGTGTTGGCTGGCAGAATGCCCAGGTAAAATGACCCTCCACCTCTTTTACTGAGTGCTTGCTCTGTACCTGGCACCTTGCTATGTGCTATACATTTACTCCTTCTGGGTCTGTCACATTTCAGGTGTGGGAGAATGAGCAACAATCCTTGGTGAGGACAGCTAGGGGAGCTGCTGGCCCTTAGAGCAGTGGGCTGGACTCCTGTGGCCATCTCCTAACTCCTTTGAAAGAGCAGTGGGCTGGTCAGCTTGAAATGGCATGAAAAGATTTCCTTTAAATCAAAATTTTCCCTTGACGTTGAACTAAGTTCACTACATAGTACAAGCTTTTGTTGACTGTATTCCATGATACACTTTAGCTTCTAAGTCTCTGACTTGAGCTAGTATTGCCCTTAAAAGAAACTAGGCATAGTACTTTAAAAACACACATGTTAATTAACTAGAACAAGACATAGCCCTATTAATTATTTAATTCAGCTTTTAAGATAAAGGTGGACAAAAGAAAGCTTGTATCAATCAGTGAATAACAAAACTACTTTGTAAAGTCATTCTAGGGTTAGGATACATCCAGTTTAATGGCCCATATTGTAGATGTTCTCTGTACTGTTGGGGAGGAGGTTTGGAAGTTGATGCAGAGAGATTGCCTTAAGGGCAGGAGGGTAAAGCTTAGGAGAAGAGATTTTCTCTGAACCCTCTGACATTGCATGCAGACATTTTTCTTGTAAGTACATTTTCTTGGGGAGAGGGTTCATGGCTTCCATTACATTCTTCAAACGAGTCAATATTCCAACAGTGGTTTAAGAACCACTGTGTTAGAGTTACTAGGCCCTGAGACAGTCTATGTCCTCCTATGGGGGCTGGTTTATATTTATTCCCCAGCAGGAGAAGCTAGTAGAAGACTTCACATGAGGGTGAAAAAAGGGAAGAAGCAACAGAGGATGACTACAGCCTCTCTTCATCTCAGCTTCACAAAGCATCACTCAACAAAAGGAACACAGGTTGCTGTTTTCAACTGCATGTTTAGCCCCCTCTTTCCTCATTTCTCTTTTCAGAAGTTGTACTATACTCATGTACGTATGTATATGAATTATTACTTACCTTGAAAAACACCCCATGTTCACGGAAAAATAAATCTGAAAAATATTACGTAGTACATGCCTTGTTAGGCCTCCAAGAGTCAAAAATTGCTGGGCCCCCATGCTGGAATGTAGGCCATCAGAGATACATTTGGGTTTCAGCAACGAAAGACTCCAGCTTCACAGAAGGAGAGCAGTCAGCCAATTTGAAAGTAACTCCAATCCCTGTGCTCATCATCTTTGTTTTTCCTTCAGCCCCCTACCTAAGATAGACATTGCTGAGCAAAGCAAATAAAAGCTCATATCTATGACATTGAGAGTCACCTCCTTCTCTCATTACCACTTCCTTCTTCCCAGCTCTTAAGATCCAAACAGACAAGAATGCTCAGGTTGGGGGCTGAATTTGTTATACTTACCTCTGCAGTTGGGTAATACTTACACGGATCAGCGGGATTCCCACTCCCTAGTTGACCTTAAAGCAGCCACTGGGAAGCTGTAGCCAAGGCAGCAATCCTAGGAACCCCAGATCAAGGATCTAATCCTGATATCTCAACTGATCAAGAAATACTAATAGGAGGGCTTGCCCCATCCAAGCTTCCCATTTTCTTCTGACTTGGTCATCAGAGATTAAGACTTGGTTTAGGACATATGTGATATAAGGACAGAGAACTTATGGCTTAGTAGTAAACAATATCAGGAGTCCTGGTTAGTTTTTTATGTGTCTGTTGGGGATGAGCAGGATAGGGCATGGGGGAAGTGGAAAGTCTGGGGCTTTCAAATACATTCTCAGTGCATCATCAGGATATCCTTGGTCACAGCTTCTGATGCCTTACTCTGGATCTCGCCTCCTTTTCTTCTTCTGCCCTACCCTGATGAGTTTCAACAGATCTCCTTTCCTTCCTCTCCCCCAGGCTACCTACTTGCAACACCTCCCATCTGGGATGAGCTTTATTGTGAATAAGTGAAGAAAACCTTAGTAAGTGTTGTTGGGAGTGACACCCATGTTGCCCTCTGGATATTAGGAGAGAAGAGAGGAGGGTGAAGAGGAAGGCAAAGGCAGGCTACGAAATCCCATACTGGAGTAACATAAATGCTTGACATTTTGAGTGCATATTGGACTAGTTAACTTCAGCCTCATTGGCTAGAAACCTACAGAAGCAAATCTGACATCTCTCTGATGCTTGTAAGGAGGAGAGAAGTGAGAGAGAGAGGCCATAAAATCCTCTACTGGAATGTAGTCAGAACTGAGGCTCACTTCATAAATCCTTAACTTTTTTTTAGTGTACTGGAGATAAGATTTACTGCACTATCTCCCTTGATACTTGTGCGAGTCACTGCCAGCCAGTATTCTCAGGTAGGACTGCCTTTGTGGAGGTATCTGGTGGCCCCAATTTAGAAACAATCCAGAACAAGGTTGACAACTTAGAAAAACTCATTGGTATAGTGACAGGATGTTAAAGGGATCAAGGCGAAAGGAGATAGCACAAATGGTACTGAATAGCCCACTTCAAAAATAAACATAAAAAAAAGGATGGACAGGACAGTGAACAGAATGGCTCCCAAACCAAAAACAAACCTGTTGCTGTCGAGTAGATTCCGACTCATAACGACCCTACAGAACAGAGTAGAACTGCCCCGTAGAGTTTTCAAGGAGTGGCTGTTGGATTTGAGCTGCCAACCTTTTGGTTAGCAGCCGAACGCTTAACCACTGCACCACCAGGGCTCCAGAATGACTCCAGGCCTCACCAAACACCACATCTGGCATATGGAAACAGTACAATAAAAGGTCAATCCTTGGACCTGTTATTTGTCATTCTTCAGGGCATGCTACAATATCTAAAATAAAAGGAAGAGCTGCTTTGGAGAAAGGCTTTGAAAGATTCTTTTATGGAAGAGATTTAGAAGAAGGGAAACTTCCAATTACATAAGGTGAGCATTATAGCTTTTAAAGACATCTGTTCCTAATGTCATGGAGATTGACGCCAGTTTCAGCCTCTGGTTGACTAGGCCAGTTTACTTTAGAGGTTTTGTGCTCTTGGACGGATGCAGCCACTCACTCTCCCTTTAGCAGGTATTCATCTGCAGGGATTCCAGTACATGAAGGAGCAAGAGGACAGGTATCCAGTGGACAACAGTGTGACCTTTTGCGTGAAGATAACAACTGAAAAGATCATGGGTTTGACTGGACTGGTTGGACTTGTTTGTTTATTGTTGTTGTTAATAAAAATGCTTTGCTCAATGATAAAACTAACAGACAATCATTGTTAAAAAAAATAAGATGATAAGTTTAAATTAAAAAGTAGAGAACACTTATAATTTTATAACCTAGAAAACAATAACTAGTAACATTTGAGTGTATGTCCTTTCAGTCTTTATAAAAAACACATTTTTAAAACAATTGACATCATACTGTATGTATTGTTTTATTCTAAATCTTTTTTCTCTTGGAATAGCATGAGCATATTTCCACATCATTAATATTCTTTGAAAACACAATATTAAAAGCTATATAGTATTATTTCATATGGATCTAACAAAATTTTATTAGATGACCTCATGTTGTTGGACATTTTGGATGTTACCAACTTTGCCTATAAAATTAAAATGTAGTGAACTTCATTGTGTATTAATCTTTGTGTGTACCTCTATTTCTTTAGAATAAATTCCTAGAATTGGAATTTCTGGGTTGAACAATGGAGCATTTCTAGGGCACCTAATAGGTATTGCTGGATTCTCCTCAGTACAGTTGGACAAACTACATTACCATCAGTAGTGTATGAATGTGAATACTGCTCCATATAATCCCTAAATCATGGCCTTTCTCTCTTTTTGTAAATCTCTGCAAATTTAATAAGTAAAAAATATCCTTTTATTGCTTTTAAAATTTTAATTCTTTTTAATTTACATACAGTAAAATTCACTCTTTATGGTATATGGTTCTATGGGTTTTGACAAATGCATAGAGTCATGTATCTACCACCCTAGTACCATACAGATCAGTTCAAGCACCCTAATAATTTCTCTGGACAGCCCTTTTGTAGTCTACCCCTTGCTCCATGTCCAAACCCTACAAATCACTGGTTTGTTCTCCATTCCTATGGTTTTGACTTCTCCAGAATGTCATATGAATGGAATTATGTAATATGTACCCTTTTTGGTCTGACTTCTTCCACTTAGTAAAATGCATTTAAGCGTCCTCCATGTTCTTACAAGAATCAATAGTTCATTTCTGTGTATTGCTGAGTAGTATTTCACTGTGTGGATGTACCAGATTTTTATCTTTGTTGGTTGATGGAAATGTTAGATGTTTCCAGTTTTTCATGTATGAATAAAATTGTTATAAACTTTCATTTACAAGCTTTTGTGTGAACATAAATTTTTATTTCTGAAAGGTAAATGCCTGAAAGTGTGATTGAGTGCTAAACTGCATTTTAAAGTTTCTATACGATTTTTCAGTCCCACCAAAAATATATGAGCGTTCCAGTTGCTCTCATCTTCACCGGCACTTTATATCTCCAATATTCCATTCTGACAGGTGTGTAGTGGTATGTCATTGTGGTTTTCATTTCATTTTTCTATTGACTAATGATGTTGAGCATCTTTGCATGTGCTCATTTGCCATCTAAATTTCTTTTTTGGTGAAGTGTCTGTTTAAATCTTTTGCCCTAGAAGAAAAATTCTTTGATGGTTTTGAGGGTGGGGAAAGAGGGTGAGGGTTATCTACTAACTAGATAGTAGATAAGAATTATCTTAGGTGAAGGGAAGGACAGCACATACTACAGGGGATAGTCAGCACAACTGGACTAAACCAAAGCTAAGAAGTTTCCTGAATACAATCAAACACTTTGAGGGACAGAGTCACAGGGGGGACCATGCTTTCAGGGGACATCTAGGTCAATTCGCATAACAAAGCTTATTAAGAAAATGTTCTGCATCCTACTTTGGCGTCTGGGGCCTTAAAAGCTTGCAAGCGGCCATCTAAGATGCATCAATTGGTCCCAACCACCTGGAGTAAAGGAGAATGAAGAACACCAAAGACACAAGGAAAGCATTAGCCCAAGAGACAGAAAGGGCCACATAAACCAGAGACTTCATCAGCCTGAGACCAGAAGAACTAAATGGTGCCCGGCTACCACCAACGACTGCCTTGACAGGGAACACAACAGAGTCCCTGATGGAACAGGAGAAAGGTAGGGTGCAGGACTCAAAATCTAGTAAGAAGACCAGACTTAATGGTCTGAATGAGACTGGAGGAACTCCAGAAAGCATGGCCCCCGGATTCTGTATCAGCCCAGAACCAAAACAATTTCCAAGGCCAACTCTTCAGACAGGGATTGGACTGGACTGTGGGACATAAAGGGATACTTGTGAGGAGTGTGCCTCTTAGCTCAAGTAAATACAAGAGACTAAACGTGCAGCTTCTGTCCGGAGGTGAGATGGGAAGGCAGAGAGGGTTAGGAGCTGGTTGGATGGACATGGGGAATCAAGAATGGAAAGGAGGAGTGTGCTGTCACAGTATGGGGAGAGCAATTAGGGTCACATAACAATGTATGTATAAATTTTTGGATGGGAAAATAACTTGAAATGTAAACTTCATTTAACTACAATAATAAAAAAAGACAAAAAATCGATTTTAAAGTGTACAATTCAGTGATTTCCAGTACATTGGCAATATTGTGCAACCATCACCACTGTCTAATACCAGCACACTTTAATCACCCCAAAAAAAAACTCCACACCCATTAAGTAGTCACTCCCCATTTCCGCCTACTCCCAGCCCCTGGCAACCACTAAATCTACTTTCTGTTTCTATGGATTTGCCTATTCTGGACATTTCATGTAAATGGAATAATAAAATATATGACTTTTAAACAAAAAAAATAAATCTTTTGCCCCATTTTTCCTTTTCTTATTGATGAATTTTTAGATTTCTTTCTATATTCTGGATACAAGTCTTTTGCCAGATATGTTATTTGTAAATGTTTTCTCCCCATCTGTAGAGTGGCTTTCCTTTCTTTTAACAGTGCCTTTTGCAAAGCAAGAGTGTTAATTTTTTTTCAAAGCTTTTCTTTTATAGATTGTCCTTTTGATGTTGTACATGAGAATTCTTTGCCTAACCCTATGTCACAAAGATTATCTCTTATATTTTCTCCTAATAGTTTTCTATTTTTAGGTTTTACGTTTATATCTATGCTACTTTTTGAGCAAAATTTTCTATACAGTTCAACTATGGGTCAAGGTCATTTTTTAAAATATAGCTATCCAGTTGTTTTAGCACCATTTGTTGCGAAGACTTTTTTGTTGAATTGCTTTTTCACATTTGTTAAAAATCAGTTGACCTACTACAATATGGATGTAGCTGGAAGACATGCTGAATGAAATAAAGCAATCACAAAAAGGCAAATATGGTATGAACTCAGTTATATAAAAAGACAAGAAAAGATGAATGTATAGCTCCGAATAGCTAAAACAATGTTGAAAGAGAGGAACGAAGTAGAAGAACTCACACTTCCTGATTTTAAAACATACTATACAGCTATAGTAATCAAAACAGCCTTGTACTGGTATAACAATAGACACAAGACTAATAGAATAGAATTGAGAGTCCAGAAATAAACCCACGCATCTATGGTCAACTGAATTTTGACAAAAGTGCTAAGTCCATTCGATGGGGAAAGAAGAGTCTCTTCAATAAATGGTGTTGGGAAAATTGGATTTCCACATGCAGGATCCATGCCTCACACCATACACAAAAACAAATTTAAAATGGATTAAGGACCAAAATGTGCAAACTAAAACCATAAGACTCTTAGAAGAAAAAGCTGGGACAACGTTGTCAGCCCTAGTTTTCAATAACAAATTATCCAATATAATAACAAAAGTACAAACAGCAAGACTAACTAAATGAGACCTCATAAAAATTAAAAACTTTTCTCATCAAAAGACTTTACAAAAAAGGTGAAAAGACAAGCTACTGACTGGAAGAATACCTTTGGAAACCATATATCCATCAAGAACCTAATAACAAAAACATATATGTAACTTAGACAATAACAAAAAGACAAATAAACCAATCATAAAATGGGCAAAGGACTTGAAGAGACATTTCACCAAAGAGGACATTAAAATGGCCACCAAACACATGAAAATGTGCTCAACATCGGCCATCAGAGATATGCAAATCAAAACCACAATGAGATGCCATTTCACTCTCACTAGGATGGCTAAGATTAAAAAAAAAAAAAACAAAAACCAGAAAACAGATGGCGAGGATGTGGGGAAACTGGAGTCCATATCCATTGCTTGAAGGAATCCAAAATGGTATAGTCCCTGTGGAAAACAGTGTGATTGTTCCTCAAAAAACTAAAAATAGAACTACCATATGACCCAGCAATTCCACTCCTAGGTATGTACCCAAAAACTTGAAAGCAGAGACTCAAACAGAGACTTGTACACCAATTTTCATTGCAGCACAATTCAAAATAGCCAACAGGTGGAAACAACCTAAACACCCATCAGCAGATGAATGGATAAACAAAATGTGGTATATACATACAGTGGAATACTACTCAGCCAGTAGGAGAAATTAAGTCTTGATACATGCTACAGTATGGATGGAGCTGGAAGACATTTTGCTGAGTGAAATAAGTCAATCACAAAAGGACATATTGTATGACCTCAATTATATAAAAAGAAAAGGAAAGTCAAACGTATAAAGGCCAGAGTTTCTTAGCGGTTACCAGGGGCAAGAGGGAGGGGGAAAGGGGTGGTTAATGGTGATGGAAATATCGTATTGATTAAGGGTAGGGTTCCCAACTGGTTATTGTAAAAGCTGTCTATAAGTTGTACACTTGTAAAAAGTTGAATCGGCAAAAGTTGTGTGATAGATATATTTACAACAACCAAAAAAGAAAGAAAGAATAGCTGCTGGTGCTGCCTATGTACAACCAAAAACCTCATGGGATTTGGTTTCTTGGTTTGGAGACTTAGGGTCATGGTTTCCTGGGACATCCGAGTTAATTGGCCTAATATGTTTGCTGCCTCTGTTCTACCTCTTAGTTCGATGCGTAGTCCCTGGGTTCTTAAAAGCTTTCAAGTGGCCATCCAAGGCTCAATAATTTGTTTCTATTCACCTGGAACAACAGAGGAAGAAGGAGAATCAGGAATAGGAGGAGGATATGAAATGTGTTGCTAATTGCCTCCATGAACAATGTCTTCTTTGCCATGAGACCAGAAGAACTGGATGGTGCCCAGCTACCACTACTGAACATTTTGATCAAAGATTCCAGTAGAAGAATCCTCATCAAAAGGGAGAAAATGCAGACAGAATTTCAAATTCTCATAGACTGCAGACTTCCTGGAGCCATGGAAGGTTGAACCAACCCCTGAAACTATTGCCCTGAGATAATCTTTAAAACTTAAACCAAAAATATACCTTGAAGTAGTCTTAAAACGAAACAAGTTTAGCTCAACTAGTAAAAAATGTCTCCCTTGAGCGTTATGATCTTTTTAAAATTTTTTTATTGTACTTTAGATGAAAGTTTACAGAATAGTTTCTCATTAAACAGTCAGTACATACATTGTTTTATGACATTGTTTAACAACCCCATGACATGTCAACATTCTCCCTTCTCGACCTCGGAGGACCATTTTTTTTTTGGTGAAAATATACATAGCCAAAGTTACACCATTTCAAAAGTTTCTCCGTGTACAATTCAGTGACATCAATTACATTCTTCCAGTTGTGCTGCTATTCTCACTATCCTTTTCCAAATTATTCCATCACCATTATCTTCAACTCACTGCCCCCTAGGCTTCCCATCAAACCTTTTGAGTTGCTGTTGTCAATTTGATCTCACATAATTTTTTTTGTACCTTAGATGAAGGTTTGCAAAATAAGTTTCTCATTAAACAGTACACATATTGCCCTATGACAATGGTTGACAACCCCACGACATGTCAACACTGTTTCTTCTCAAACTTGGGTTCCCTATCACCACTTTCCTGTTCCCTCCAGCCTTCTAGTCTTTGTCCCTGGACTGCTGTGCCACATCAGTCACGTTTTGTTTTATGAGGCTGTCCAATCCCCAGCTGAACGGTGAACTTCAGGAGTGACTTCACCACTGGCTAAAAGGATGTCCGGGGGCCATACTCTCGGGGTTTCTCCAGTCTGTCAGGCCAGTAAATCTGGTCTTTTTTTGTGAGTTAGAAGTTTGTTCTACAACCTTCTCCAGCTCTGTCCAGGATCCTCTATTGTGATCCCGGTCAGAGCAGTCAGTGGTGATAGCCAGGTACCATCCAGCTGTATTGGACTCAGACTGCTGGAGGCGGTGGTAGCTGTGGTCCATTAGTCCTTT